TTTGGAGTAATGTGTTACACAGAACTGATAACCAGTTCAAAGAAGCACCATACAGGTTTAACCACATGCCCTTGGTCATACAGCTAGGAAATCAAAGTATTAAGACCAGTAATCAGATGGCCTGACTCACAGACTGCACATTCACCCATTACTGTGGTTGTTTGATGAAACGATCTATGAAGGAATTTTGCTGCTTATAAAAATAAGCTATTTCCATTATTATATACCAGTCATGCATCTCTAACACAATGGGGTTACAGTGTAAAAAAAGTGTTATTAGGTGATTTGGCCACCATATGAATGTTGTAGGGTGTCATTATGCAAACCTGGACGGCATGCCTACACACAAAATCCACATGGAATAGCCTATGGGGAACACCATTGAACATGTGGTCTGTTGTGGACAGAAATATTAAGTGACATGATAGTCACATTTTAGAGAGCAATCAGCAATATTTAACAAAAGGTACAAATCCTTCCACTCTGCAATTCTATGCCTACAATACCAACTTGGAGGTGTATGAACATTTAAGTGCATAAATATTTACTACACAGTTAAAAAAAACAAATAAATATCCAGTAATAGGGGATTTGGGTGAGTTAAGAAAGACTATTTAGCCATTAACAGAATGAGGTAGATGCAAATCCTCTATAGATAGAAAATTACTCAACAAAACATTAGCCAACTGAATAATTCATTGAAAGTATCCTATGTCACAATCAAGTAGGATTTATTCCACAAGTGCAAGGATGGTTTAACATTGAAAAATAATTCACAAAGTATATTCCATTAACATAATGAAGGATAATAATCATATGTTCATCTCTATGGGTGCAGAAAAAGCATTCTGATAGAATTCAGTATTCATTTACAATAAAAATTTTCAAAAGAGTGGGGGTAAAGGGGCATATACCTCAATATAATAAAGGCCATATATGACAAATGCACAGCTCACATCATACTGAACAATGAAAAGTTTTCTTCTAAAATCAGGATTATTAAGACAAGGATGCCCACTCTTCCCACCTTTATTAATCTACCATTAGAAGTATTAGTCACAGCAATTAGAAAGAAGAAAAGCCATTTTCTTGGAATTGGAAATGAACAAGTGTAACTGTCACTATTTGCAAATAACATCAAATCATATATAGAAACACTAAACATACTAAACCGAACAAACAAAAAACTGTTAGAACAAACAAATTCAGTAAATTTACAGGATACAAAAATGGGTGCATTTCTATGTGCCAATAATGGGCTAGCAGAGAAATTAAGAATTCAGCATCATTCACAACTGCATCAAAAACAATTAAATATTGAAGAATTAATTACCAAGGAGATAAAGACCTGTGCACTGAAAACTATAAAACATTGATGAAAGAGAATGAAGACCATCAAAGCAGATGGAAACATATTCTGTTCATGGATTGAAGTAATTAATGTTATTAAAAGGTCCACACTACCCAAAGCAGTATGCAAGTTTAATGCAACCCCTATCAAAATTCCAATGGCATGTTTCACAAAATAGAACAATTATAAAATGTGTATGGAAATACAAAAGGCCTTGAAGAACCAAAGCAAAGTTGAGAAAAAAGAACAAGGCTGGAGGCAATGTATGCCTTAATTTTGAATTATATTAAATAGCTACAGTAATCAAAACAGTATGGGGCTTGTACAAAAATAAGCATTTGGATCAATGGACCAGAATCGAAAGTCCAGAAATAATCCTGGGATCCATAACATAAAATTGGGAACGACTTTTCAATAAACGGTGTTGGAGAAAGTAGAAAGTAAAATAATGGTAACACCATTCACAAACATTGACTAAAGATTGACTAAAGACCTGATGTGAGACCTAAAGTCATAAAACCTAAAGTCATAAAACACTCTACAAAACATAGGTGGTAAGCTTCCTGATACTGGTCTTGGCAACAAAAGCAGAAAGAAGGAAGTGGAACTATACCAAACTACAGAAACTTCTGCACAACAAAGGAAAACATCAACAAATGAAAGTGCAACTTACTAAATGGTAGAGAATATTGGCAAATCAGGTACTTATAAGAGTTAATAGTCAAATATATAAACAGCTCATCCAATTCAAAATGGGTAGAGGGTCTGAGTTGAAATATTTCCAAAGAAGACAACATATGTCCATCACTAATCACAATGGAAATGCAAATCAAAACCACAATGAGCTATTTCATCTCATACTTGTCACAATAACTATCAGAGACCAGAAGTCATACATGTTTGTGGGGATGTGGAGAAAAAGGAACCTTTGTGCACTATTGGTGAGAAATATGGTAAAGAATATGGAGATTCTTCAAAAAAGTAAAATTAGAATGAAATGTCATATGTTCTAGCAGTTCCACATCTAGATATTTATACAAAGAAAACAAAACACTAACATGAAAATAGATATGCACTCCCCCATGTTCATGTCAGTATTATTTACAATAGCCAAGATTTGAAAACAACTTAAATGTCCATCAATGGATTAGTAAAGAAGTTGTGGAACATATCTGTGTGTGAGTGTACACATATGTGCACATATACAATGGAATAGTATTCAGTCATTAAAAGGTATAATTGCCATTGAGGCACCATGGATGGACCTTGATGGCATTATACTAAGTGAAATAAGTCAGATGGAGAAAGACAAATACTATATGATCTCACTTATGTATGGAATCCAGTGTTGTTTTTTAAAAAGCTCAGAGATACAGAGGACAGATTGATGTTGCCAAAGCTGGGTATTAGTGGGTAGGTGAGATGGGTAAAAGGGGTCAAAAAATACAACTTTTCAGTTATTAAACAAGCCACAAGGGTCTAAGTTTTTTTTTAATGAAGTAGATTTATATTGAGGGAAGAAAAAAAGATAAAACTTTCTGTAAGTAGGTATATGTTCCTATATATGCTTCACTCAGCTTCTACAAATGTTAACATTAACATGACCATAGCTAACTGATTGAAACTAGGTAATCAACACTGATAAAATGTTAATTAGGTTTTGAACTTGAGAGAAGTGTTGGGTCTGAGGAGAGAAAAACAGGGACATTCTAGACAATGATCTTTGCTTGTACAGGTAATTTAAAAGAGTGAACAATTCAGAACGCCATTTATTTTTGTCTTCCAATGATGAAATGATGGGAGCAGGCACTCATTTAACTTACCTAATTTTCTTTTGTGTGTAACAAATTTACATGGATTCTTGGAAGACTTAAATTATAGAGATTTCTTATCTCAACAAATAATCTCTTCTTTACAAGATGCCACAGGTTCTGCTGGACTTCGGGGAATCAAAGATAAGTAAAGATTCCTATTGTACTTGTTGCTACTACTCTGTTTATCTGTTGAGGGCTTTGCATATTTTATCCTTACAACAGTCTAGGGATTTAAGAACGATTGTTGTCCTTATTTGAACTATTAAAAAAGGAAAAAATGTGGTTTATAGAACTTGCAAAGGAACCAGGCAGTTCCTGGGCTTAACTTCCATGCCACACTGCTATTGCTTGTTTTCAAAACTGGAAAAACATACTGATATATGAAATCACGTCTTCATATAAAACATAACAGATCCATATTACCACAGAAGCAGTTTTCCAAGAAAGACAAATATATAATGAAACTTGAGAAGGTGGGTACATTTAGAATAAAAATTTGTCAATAAAAGTTTACCCATGTCAGACCCTCCCTGATGGCACAACGGATTGGAACAGAGCACTATGAAGCTAGCTGCAGCCTCTTCAACATGAGTTCGATCCCAGCCAGGGCGGTGACCCACATGGCCCAGCAGACAGCTCCTCTCCTGCAGCTGCTCTCCTCAACAGTGTATTTCAGTGATCTACCTGTTGCTCCCCACTCTGTCTATGGTGAATCTTCTCACTGCCCTTACACATCTGATCTGGTCTGTACCCCAGTTCTGTATGCATAAAATAAATAAATCTTTAAAAAAAAAAAAGGTTCACCCATGTCACTAAACCCCTTTCCCAGCAGGGTTATTATCTCTGAGAGATAATAAGAGTATGTCAAAATACAAGTGTGCATAGCAGGAGTGCAGCCAGCCTGAGGTTAAGGATGAACCACCTCCTCAGCCCAGAACATCAATTCTGAAGTGAACAGATCCTTTTTAGCTTTCATCCACAGGTTACCAGCCTTGAAATTTGGGCAACAAGAATCAGGAGTTTTTATACTGACCAAAACTTACTCTTTGAAACGCTCACATTCTACTCCCTGTGTCTTCTTAGTGAACGCTAACTTTTCTTTGGGGTCTGGAGATAGCACCTTCTAGGGCTGGTCAGAGCCTGGTAATCTGTCAGTTCTGACACTGGGGCAGGGCTTCGGCTTTCTCTGAATGTTTACTGTGGGCCCTATGGTATTTGAGGCGGACAACCTCACACTCACTAGCAAGAGGACTACTAAAGATCCCAATTGTTAGTGGGAAGAACTGACATCTTTGCAAGGGAAGAGCAGCACTACTGTATCTCAAAAGGGGAGACCTTGGATCTCCGTGGTCCCCACTCCATTGTAAAACTCACTTAAAAAGTGGCCTTAAATTCAAGGTGCCTCAAAAGTGGGGCCTCTCTTGAGAACATTCTAGAGAAGGCGACGGGAATCTCTAGTAGTGCAAGTGGGGAAGTACCAGCAGTGAGAGCACGCAGACTTTGGGGGCGAGGGTCCTTGGTTCCAGACACCCCTTCCAGTCCCTGCAAACGCTTGTCCTGGTTCCCACAGTCGTGTCCCCTAACTGCTCAGGGGCGGGGGCCCGAGGACACACGAGCCCCAGCCTCTCACCTACCCCATTCTCGCCATGGTCCTTTGTGGGGACCAGACTACCGGGCGCAGAGCCTCAGAACCAGGCAGGACCCGCTCCTTGCAGCGAGGAGAGGGCGAGGGCCGGCGGCGGCCTCGCGGCGCTTCCACATGTGGCGGGGCCGCAGGGGGGGGGACGAGGAGCCGAGGGGGAGGGTTTACATCTCAGCAAAGTTCCCGGATGGTCGCAGCCTCCCGGTTCTGAGAGCTTTTCCTGCCCGGCCGGCTCAGCCCTACGGATCAGGGAGAAGTTTTCCAGAAAAAAATGCCCGGCGCGCCGCGGGGCCCTGGAAGCCGCCCGGAGCCCTCGCGCGGTAAGGGACACGCCGCCGCCCCGCCTCGGGTTCCGGGGTCTCGGGACCGCGCTGGTGGAGCCCCCCACGGCCGCCGGGGGCTCCAGGGAGGGGCTGGGCTGGACGGAGGGGCTCGGACGCACCGCCTGGCACCGGTGGGCG